CTACTTAAGCTTTCAGATGTTCTATTTGTACCCTCTTTGCGAAGAAACTTAATAAGTGTTTCACGTTTAGATGACAATGTATATGATTGCCATTTTGGTATTGACAAATGTTGGATTATGTATAATAATAAATGTGTTGGTCTTGCCTTCCGACAAGACAAGCTTTATTTATTATCACTTTCTGAGAATGTGAATGATGTAAGTACTGAGATTGAGAATGCTTCCTCGTCTATGAATACAACAAATAAACAGAAGAGAGTGCATGATGTATCTTCAAAATTATGGCACTGTCATTTAGTCCATATTTTGAGGGGGAGAATAGAGCGATTGATTAAGAAATCAATTCTTCTGCTTTTAGAATTTTTTAGATTTAGAATAATGCATAGATTGCATAAAAGGAAAGTATGTTAAGAAAATAAAGAAAGATGCCAAACGTAGCGCATGAATTTTAAAAATAGTTCACATAGACATCTATGGTCCTTTTCCTGTGAAGAGTGTGGATGGTTATGATTCATTCATAACATTCACAGACGACTATTCTCGTTTTGGCTATATTTATCCAATTAAGGAAAGATCAGAAGCATTGGATAAATTTAAAATATTCAAGGCTGAAGTAGAAAACCAGCACAACTTAAAGATTAAGATAGTAAGGTCCGACCGTGGGGGAGAGTACTACGGTTGACATACCCCATATGGCCAAGTTCCTAGACCTTTTGTAAGGTTCTTACAGAAAAATGGCATAGTAGCCCAGTATTCTACACCGGGCGAGTCTGAGCAGAATAGAGTAGCTGAAAGACGCAATCGTACCTTAATGGATATGGTGAGAAGCATGATAAGTTACTCTACCTTACCATTAAGTTTATGGATGGAGACGTTGAAAACCACCATTCATATTCTTAATCGAGTGCCAAGTAAGTTGGTGCCCAAAACACCGTATGAATTGTGGACATGAAAGGAACTCTCACTTAACTATTTGCGTGTGTGGGGTTATCCAACTGAGGCAAAAGTATTTAACCCAAACATAGAGAAGCTAGACATCAAGATAGTTAGTTTCCATTTCATTGGCTATCCAGAAAAGTCAAAATGTTATTGTTTCTATTGTCCTGACAGACAAACAAAGTTTGTAGAAACAAAACATGCTATCTTCTTGGAGGAAGATATAATCAGGGGGAGCATGGTAGCGTGTGAAATTAGTTTTGAAGAGAAGCGGGTATACGTGCCCACTCCTATGGTTCAGGATCCATTCTTCACGCTACCTGTTGTTGCTGTACCAACAGCGCAAGACACTGTAGTAACAGCACCTGTTGTTAGTTCTCCTATGGCAACAATGTATGAACATGAGGAACCTGTCATTCAGGATCCCTTAGAACCCGTTGTCACACATGAGGAAGAGCAACAACAACCTCATATAGAACAAGCGTCATCTAACGAGGCCCCTAGAAGGTCCCAAAGAGTCAGGAGATCAGCCATTCTTGATGATTATGAAGTTTATGAAAGTGAGGAATTTCTAATGGAGGGTGATCCCACCTCATGTGAAGAAGCCTTGAGAAGCGCTCACTCATTCAAGTGGCTTGAAGCCATGGAAGATGAAATGAAATCAATGAAAATCAATAGTGTTTGGTACTTAGAAACAATTTCTAAAGAAACCAAGACATTAGGCTGTAAATGGGTCTATAAAACTAAATATGACTCCAAAAGGAATATAGAAATGTTTAAAGTGTGACTTGTGGTGAAAGGTTTCACGCAAAGAGAAGGCATAGATTACAATGAGATATTTTCTCTAGTCTCATGTAAGGATTCTTTTAGAATCATAATGGCGCTTGCAGCACATTACGACTTAGAATTACATTAGATGGATGTAAAGACGGCGTTCCTAAATGGGGATTTGGAGGAAAATGTTTACATGGCACAACCAAAATGTTTTGTTGTGGAAGGAAAAGAATGTATGGGATGCCGCCTGAAGAAATCCATTTATGGATTAAAACAAGCTTCAAGACAGTGGTATTTGAAGTTTGATAGTACAATAAGAAAGTTTGGGTTTTAAGAAAATGTAGAGGACAATTGTGTTTATGCAAAGTTCAAGAATAGAAAATATATTTTTCTAGTCTTGTATGTGGATGACACCTTGCTCGCTAGCAGTGATGTTAATCTACTACTAGAAACAAAGAAGTTCTTGTCCTCAAAGTTTGATATAAAGGATCTTGGTGAAGCTTCGTTCGTCCTAGGAATAGAGATTCATCGAGATAGAGAAAAGAGGGTTTTAGAATTATCACAAAAGGCATACTTAGAAAAAGTTCTAAAGAAATACAATATATAAAATTGTAAGTCTTCACCTGCTTCCATAGTCAAGGTCGACAGATATGGGGAATTTCAATGTCCCAGGAACCAATATGAGATTGATCAAATGAAAGCGGTTTCATATAGTTCAGCTGTCGAAAGTTTACAGTATGCTCAAGTGTGTACTCGCCCTGACTTAGCATTTGTTACCGAGTTGCTTGTCAGATATAAGAGTAATCCAAAAATAGAACACTGGAAATTAGTAAAGAAAGTTTTGCGTTACCTGTAAGGTACGAAGGGTCTCATGCTAACGTACAGAAGATATGATTCCCTACACATAGAGGGGTATACAGATTCTAATTATGCGGGAGATAAAAGAAAGTCCACGTCAGGATACATATTCACTCTCGCAGGAGGAGCTATATCGTGGAAAAGCTCAAAGCAAACCGCCACTACATCGTCCACAATGTATGGCGAGTTTGTAGCATGTTATGAGGCCACAGGGCAGGTGAATTGGCTGAAGAAATTCATGCCCGGGTTGAAAGTGGTAGACGACATATATAAGCCACTTAAGTTATACTGCGATAATAATCCAGCAGTATGTTATTCTCACAACAATAAGTCAAGTGGTGCTGCCAAACACATTAACATAATGTATTATGTTGTGAAAGATAAAGTCCGGGATCATATAATTAGTCTTGAGCATATAAGAACAAAAAGATGCTCGTGGATCCGCTTACAAAAGGCTTACCACCCAGCGTGTTTAGAGAACACTTAGCCGGCATGGGTTTAAGGGAAAGCCTAAGATTCCTAGATAATAAGGGCCTAGTTAACAATCTATTTCAAAACAGAGAGGTGCATTGTAGCTGTTTAATCTAATGGCAACTGACCGTGACGATGAGGTACGCTCTATGCACCGATCTGTGATGGAATGAGAATAAGATAAAGTAAGTAAGTTGAGTTTAAGTCATAAGGTGAGATCAAGGAGGAGAATGTTAGATGATCTCTAACCAACGGCCAATTGGGCCCTTGGATCCATGCCCTGATCGGGGACGCCCAACCCTGCATGGTTGGTGGGCCCCGTCACACTGCGCTATAAAGAGAGGTGGGGGCCGACGGCTCTCATAACGAGGTTGACCGAGCTACAGTCGCCCCACCGACATAACCCTAATCCGATCTAGAGAGGGTGCGCAGCCAGTGACGGGAAGTACCATCACGAGGTTCGCCGTAGCCACTGGACTGCACCTACGACCGCAGACAACGCCGCCACTGCACCGCCTCCTTTCACCGCTGCTTCTGCATCGTCACCACCTCGACAGCGTCTTCGCCGCCGGGCTTCCCCATGCCACTGTCCGTAACCCCATGGCCAGCTCGTCTTCTACGAAGGCGGCCGATGGTTTGCACCTCCTTTACCCCTCTCTCTCTCTCACTCTATCTGTTAATTCCGTACTAGTAGATGTTTTAGGACTCGCTGTTTATTCCAAATGCAAGCACACATGCTAGATCTATGGCTAGTGATCCTATTTTATTTCTATCAGGGCCATCACAGTGTCGTGATGGCCGTCACCCGCGACATCCTCTACGCCTACGTCAGCGCCAAGCCACCGCAGCGGTACTACCACCTGGGACTTAGCGAGACCGCCTGGTACTACCGTCATGACGCACGAGTGTTGGTGGGCGCTGGTGTTTGACGTCCTACGTCTCTTCCCGGACGATTGCGCGTTCCCGACGATGTGCGGCGCCTACGGCGTGTGCACGGACATGTAGTGCAGCAGCCCCGACGCGACCAACTTCTGGGCGGTAGAGTTTGGGTGGCCCAACCGCGGCCGCGGTAGGCCGACAAGGCTACTGCAATGACCCCTCCAGCCTAACGGCGCTGGAGAGGGTGAGCGACGTCGCTTGCAGGAAGGCGTGCCTAGATGAGTGCGGGTGCACGACGACGTAGTTCGTGTACGTCACCGACTTTGTTTACCTACAGTCGGAGGTGCTGTTGCGCGGATCGACAGAGTGCCGAGCAGGTTGCCTGGGCCATGCGAGTCGTGGGGGCGACCACGGTGGCGGGATGTGCGGGTCGCTGGGGTCACCGGGCCGGCTTGCTGGCCACTGGGAGACGACATGGTGGCGATCGAGTCATGGAGGCGAGAGAGGGCGGAGTGGAAGAGGAGGCACGGACCGATGGGCTGAGCATGAGTGAGGCGGCAGGCGCACTGGCGGAGGCATGGTGCAGGATGGCAACATCCCTGATGAGGGAGGAGGGGAGAGGAGGAAGAGCTGACACATGGGCCCCACATGCATGGTAGATTCCATGTCAAGTGTGAATCACCACGCCACTTAGAATGAGTCATGTGAGCACCCATTTGGAGTGGTAAGATCCGAAACAAGTTATAGGAACCCAGAAATTTAAAAATAAGAGTTTAGGACCTGAATGACACCTTGATCCAAGTTTAGGACCGCCGGTGCATTTTACTTGTTCAAACTTTGGACTGATGCGTCCAAACTTCGACTATGCTGACCGCACGCGACACCTAACACTAACAATTCCGACTGATGCGTCCAAAGCTACCTGCTTCCCATGGACTCCAAAGTCAAGCAGAAGCGGCGCATGTCTCCGAAAAGAATTTTTTTGTTACCTTCACGAGATACTTTCAGCTTTCAGGCTGCGACTCCTGCGAGTCACTCACGACCACAAGTCCACAACACTTGGCTTGGCTACCTAGCTTGCCATGGCTTCTTCCTCACCATCGTCCTCGACGCTCCGGCATGTGGCGATGCTCCCGTTCATGGGCAAAGGCCACGCCATGCCGATGCTGCACCTGATCCACCTGCTCCTGCGCCGGGGCCTCGCGTCGGAGGTCACCGTGCTCGCCACCCCGCGCGAGGCGTCCTTCATCCGCGCGGCCGTCTCGGGAGTCCCCGGCGCGGCCGTCCTCGAGAAGGCGTTCCCGTCCACATCGGTAGGTCCGCAGAGCATGGAGGAGCTCCCCTCCGCTTCCGAGTCCCACTTCCTAGACCTCATCTCCGCCACGGCGGCGCTCCGTCCGGCGTTCGCGGACGCGCTGGCGCGGCTGGAGCTCCGGCCAGACCTGCTCGTCCACGACGGCTTCCTCCCGTGGGCCAAGGACGCCGCCGACGGCCTCGGCATGCCTCGGCTCGTCTCGCTCGGTATGGGCGCCTTCTCCTGCTACGTCACGCTCGCCGTACTGATACAGAAGCCGCACGCGCGCGTGAGCTCGCCGTGGGAACCGTTCGAGGTCGACGGTTTGCCGGGGCTCCGACTCACGACGGCCGACCTGAACCCGCTGTTCGACGACCCGGCGACAGCCGGCCGTCACTGGGACTTCATCTGTGAGAGCGCTGTAGCCACGGGCTCCAGCCGGGGCACTATCCTCAATTCCTTCCATGAGCTGGAGTCACTCTACATACACAAGATGAACCAGCTGGAGAACTCGCCGAAGATGTGGCCGGTTGTCCCGCTGTGTCTTGCTACTGAACCGGCGGTTCAGACCTTGGATGCAGATCTAGCCGGCTGGCTCGACTCCAGGCTCGCCATGAACCGGCCGGTTCTGTACGTGGCATTCGGCTCCCAAGCTAACCTGAGCCGGGCACAGCTAGAGGAGATCGCGGCCGGACTGGACAGGTCCGGTGTGGATCTCGTGTGGGTGGTCCGGTCCAAATGGTTGGATGGAGAGGACCGGGTCGAAGGGCGGTTCGGAGACAGGGCTAAAGTGGTACAGGGCTTTGTCAACCAGCTTGGTGTCCTGAGGCACAAGGCTATCAAGGGCTTTTTCAGTCACTGTGGGTGGAACTCGGTGACCGAGAGCATCAGCATGGGGGTTCAGATTCTTGCGTTCCCGTTGGCGGCGGAGCAGACGATGAACGCCAAGTTCGTCGTGGACGTGCTCGGAGCCGGACTCAGGGTCTCACCATCCAACAGAGGGCACGACGACGACGGTGGCAGCGAGGGCGGCGGGGAACTGGTTGCAAGCCAAGACATCGAGGCATTGGCACGGGAGCTGATCTTGGGAGAGGCAGGGAAACACGTGGCGGCAAGAGCAGCCGAGCTCGCAGCTTCTGCTAGAACGGCGATGGATGCCGGCGGTTCTTCGTTTGAAAACCTGGAGCTGATGGTGCGTGCAGTCATCAGTCGCACTAGCAGGCTTGAGGCTAGTTCAGAGTGAGTAGCTAACTACGAGCCTCTTCGTTGTCGTGATAGAATTAATTTGGTACAGTATATTATTCTGCTGTACTCGGGCTCTTCATTTTGAGCATAGGACAAGACCCTCTAATCCTCCCATCTGTCGGCGGTGAAATTGTACTCGGGCTCCTCATCTGTGTCAATAATTTTCAGTACGGTTTGTAGGCCATTGTTCCCACCTCATGCTTTGCTTGCTATGTGGTAGTCGTATGCAAGGGTAAGAAAAAGAACCTACTATTTGGAGGTGGGTTTCCTATGGAAAAACTCATCATCAAGGTGTAAATATCGACAGGGTATCATCCCATTCATCCATCCATCCATCCCATCCCATCCTATATCCAACATAGTCACGCCACACACTCTCACATTTCACCACCACACTCTCTAGTTGACAAGACAACTCCCTCTCGTCCTTGCCAACCCAGAGGAAGAGAAGAAGACACCACTCCCTAGTCAATTGAAGAGAGAAACATTGGAAAGATGTCCTTAACCGAGGACGTGACTATATGTATATGTATAGATCAATCAATTCTACAGAGCCTATACACCTGTACCCATAAAATGTGGCAGAATCGATCAATTTATAAGAACACAAGTACAAAGTCAACCACCAGAGCGATCGCACTATCATACTTGAACTCATATAAACCCGGTAGTCCGTTGAGTATCACGAAGGATCTCGAATAATCTCCAACATACAACCAAGATCGTACATGATTCAACATACAAGCCACATGTTACATAAGTTCACAAGTATCTCAACATATATTGGAGTTCAAACATAGTTATTACAATACCAAGTTCAACTGCAATAGCGGAAGCAATATAGTTTTAAAACCAACATCACACACACTTGTTTAAATACATGCCGGTTTATGATCAAGTCCAACAAAAGCATCATAGATAAGACCACATAGAGAAGCCTTGCCCACGGCCTTAATCCTCGTCCACGGCGGGAGAGAAGCAATTCTTGCAGTACCCGTGGTATACAGTACCATCTGCAACAAGTGGGAATAAACCCTAAGTACGAGAAGGTACTTAGCTAGACTTACCTGTCATGAACCAAAAATAAAGTGACACCAAAGATCATGCAAGGTTTTATAAGTGAAGCTAGCTTGGCATCATTTTACATAGAAAGCTACTAGTTGAACTACACATTTTATAATTCGGTCACCAGTTAATTATAACTATTCATCTCTAAATTGGCAACTAACCTGTGCCAAACATATGTTATAATTAAGTAGCATAACAATAGTAACCATATCTAATTATTTTATCATTCTTAGAATCATTCTACTTGCCATGAATCACTACGATAGAAGGAAGTTCAGTCAAGTTTCTCACTATCCGAGAGAGACGGCGATTCAAATCAATTGTAACTAGTTGGCCAGTATTCCTAACATAAACTCAGACATACCTACGCCAAGGTATTCTTAGGTCACCTTTGGTACAACTCAGGTACACATGTCGTGGGTTCGATCAGTGCCGCACAATCAGGGACAACCAGCTGCCATGACGGTCAGGCCTAGATTGCCCTTGGGCTCACGTCTAGCTCCCCACACATCCTTACTACCTCCCGTGTGCGCACTTTTATAGAACGGGGCCGGTTTGAGTTGAGCTACTCGGCTTCGCGGTCGGGACGAGTTATCCTACCAGTTAAGTGAGAGGCATGCGTTCAAAATGACCGAGGACCAACAACGATGCGGTCCTTAATCGACACAGATGGAATCATATGAGTTCTCCTACTACATAGACTCCGTCCGGCCTCCATTTACATCATCCCATGGTTCTTTTACACGATAGCAAATATAGCCAACCGTGATTCAGTATCCACCTATATTTCGTAGGTGACAGGAAATCACCCGACTTCTACCGACTAAGCATTGCTAAGCATTTATTCGATCTTGGACCTACATAGGGTTCAAGGTATATTTTTGGATAAGGAATTTATATGCATCAAGTGTTTTCAATCAACTTCTATAATCTAATGCATCAAACGTAAGGGACTCAAGATGATATTTATAAAACATAGGAGTCTTAGAATGCTCCAGGGTTGCCTTTCAAGTAAGATGAGGGCTTATGGTCCGGGCACTCAGGCAAATCTTCTGAGACCTGTTCTTCGCCTTCTGGAGCTATTGGCTGCTGGGCCTCCTGCTGGTCCTCCTCTTCCACTGCCTCGAACTCCAAAATTGTTATTTCCTCCGGCGATCCTATATGCATGAGCACACAATAAGATAAAAAGAATGCATAGGTGATGGTATGGATGACAGGATGAAGTACTTAGCGATGCATCCGAACAGTCTATTAAGATAATAGCAATACTTTATTTTATTGAGTGGGTGTATATCTCTTCTCTAGTAGATAAGTTTTAGTTTACTAAGTAGGTGCATATCTCCTCTCTAGTAAAGTAACATATACTCACTATGCTCTAGCAACCTAAGATAGAGTTGCTCATTGTCATTAAGAGGTCTATCACCTGCGGTTAACAACTTATTTTAATTAGCCTAACCATCTAATTAACCAGCATCAAGTTACTACAAAGCAACCAATTCATAGAGCTAGATAGAAGTGAATTATAGTGCACCAATTAACTAGCTACATATAAACACTTAATTCTGGGCACAACCAAACATACCAACAGGTTATACTCATTATCAACATGTCAAAAAGTATCATGGTCAAGCCCTAACAATTTCTTAAAAGCATTTATTGATTTATCAAGCATAGCTAGGTGAAATTTGGAATAGCTACTTTCAGTGCACAGAAAAGTCTGGAAAATTACAACAGCTCATATATGCTCTCAGGAGACTACTGTTAAAATTTTATGCCATTTGGATAAGTATAGCAGCCTCTACAAAAATGACAAGTTACATGATATATAGTCACTTAAATATGTTCAGCATAGTGAAAAGTATCAAACAATAGATTTTAGATTTTTCTTACGTTCCTCATAACACCAGATTACTCCTCAATTAATTTCATGCCTATATGTTATATGGATTTACCACAACAAATTTCACAAGAAATTAGCATTTATTTGAGCCAAAATAAGAAATCCTATTCCAAGCATGTTAACTGTAGGTTTTATATTTCTCCTAGCTACAACATGTCAAAATACGACCAACAAAATTGGAATCACATTTTTAGTATATACCAAACTCAAGTTATGGATTTTCTAAGATTACTAAGGAATAAATAGGATAATTTAAATAGGGTAACAAACTGTAGCATACACCAAGTTTCATATTTTTAACAGGTAGTACTCATCAATATGAATCCAATAAAATTCGGTTCACTCAATTTGGACACTCCTAGAATTAGTTATGAATTTTTGAAGTTTGAATCAATTTCTGAAAAAGAATAAAGAAAAACATTCAAAAACATATGAAATCGGTACGCGCACCTGATGCAGTACACCCAAAGACGCTGACAGCTGGGTCCCATGGTCAACGGGCCCCACATGTCATACACACGGAGCAGATGCAGATGTTGACTGGCCGTAGCTTGCCGACGGCGAAGCTTGCGGCGATGAGGTGAGCACGAGAGTGCTCCCCATCACCACGCGCATTGACTAGAGGGGTTGGTTGTCCAAGGGGCTCGCCGGAGCTAGCTCGACGGCGGCCATGGTGGCTCGGCGGTCAGTGTCACTGCCGTCTCTGGTAATGCCGAGCTCACCGGAGCTCGGTCGGAGCTCCAGTGCATCTAGAGGAAACTAAGGTTAGGGCTCAGGGCTACGGTGGAGCGGCGGTGTGGCCCGGCCACGTGCGAGGTCGTGCGGCGGCGAGAGTGCGATGGCTTGAAGCTGCATTCTGGCGATGACATGTCGGCATTGGCCCAAGGATAGCGGCATGAGCGAGACCTACTGCTAAGCTACTCCTAACGAGAGAAGAGGGAGGGCGAGCAGGCTCGGAGAAGCATGGCCATGGCGAGCGCGAGCTCAGCGGCGGCAATGGCGGTCGCGCTGACCACCACGACGGCGCAAGGCTCTAGGGTTATACCTGTGCTATAGAGGCAATGCTAATGGCTCGAGGAAGTGGAGTGGGTCACGGTGGAGCTTTAGGCGAGATGGATCGACAGCGGTGGCTACGTGCACGACGAGCGAGCCCGGCGAAGCTTGGCGGTGACATCATGAAGGCTCTTGGCTACGGTGGTGTGCATGAGAGAGAGAGAGAGAGAGAGAGAGAGAGCGAAGGAAGCGAATGAGGTTGAGCGGGAGCGAGCAGCAGCGATGCGGCGCTCTTACCCTCCGCACCAGCATGACGAGCGGGGCCGGTGATGGCGTACGGACGCCACTTGGCGCCTGCACCCTATGCCTAGTCGGCCATGACCGCGCCCGGCCGGCGACAGCCCGGGGCCATCAGGCCAACTGACGGCCAATCTTTCCCCCTTTCTGTCCCCTAATCTGGCTCGAGTTAGTGAAAACTTCATTAATACAAAATGTAGAGCTATAGGAGATCTACAACTTTCCTTAAGGAAGTTTGGTCTAATTCAAGCTGGATTTTGAGATAAAATGCTCCAAAGTAGCTTACATGTAAACTAAAAGTCGGCTTATGACTTAAAATTTTTTCTGAGTTTTTAAAACAGCATTAAGTTGGATTTTGGGAGCCCTGTTTGGCCAACTGAGGAATTGATTCAGCTCTCGATCCTTAAACAAAGTTTGTTCCACATGACATGATCTATAACTTTTATTTAGGTCCCACTACCATGCAAGCACTCTAGGAAATTGGTCAAGTTAGGTCAAACCAGCAACTTAATAAAGACATTTCTAGTAACACCAACACCTAGAAGCATTTTTTGGACCAACTCATGAATATAAACTTGGTTCCATTTTTCACCCTAAGTGTGTCTAAGGTGTTTTAGTGACCAAACAACAATCACTTGCATTAGCCAAGCAAGATCACAAGCATATACATGTATAATTAAGCATCACATGTGATAACAAAGAGTGTATGAGATGAAATTTCATATGCTAATGCTCATGAA